TTCAGTAGTCCCGAATCGAGTTTCAGTAGTCCCGAATCGAGTTTCAGTAGTCCGAACGCTAATTCTAAACTTCTTTCCCTCAGTGCACCTGTTTCATTTACATATACTATACTACGCAGAAAGGTGTTCTCTCTTTAGCAACACAGAAAGGAGAATTCTACTTAGTGAGGGTCTTAATCCCTAAGTGTGGCCGAAGGCTGCCTACGCAGATAGGAGTTCCCTACAGAAGGTGTTCAGCCCCCCTTCTTTGGCAACACAGAAAGGAGAATTCTACTTAGTGAGGGTTGTAATCCGTAAGTGCGGAAAAAGGCCGCCTACGCAGAGGGGTGTTCTCTGCAAAAGGTGTTCAGCCCCCCCTCTTTGGCAACACAGAAAGCAGAATTCTACTTAGTGAGGGTTATAATCTAAGTGCGGCCGAAGGCTGCCTACGCAGAAAGAAGTTCTGCGCTAATATACTATCATTACTATTACTATAGAATTTTTACCTGTCGTGTTTTTTTTTTAATATAACAAATTATTTTTAGTCAATTTTTTTTTAATAACTTTTTTTTAGTTAACTTTGTTTATACAAAATCGTCTCATAACCAACTTGGAATAATTTCTTTTATTTTAAAATCCCACGGTTTCTGTTAGTTTGGTTATATTCCACTTCAAACTGCTCAGTTTGCCTCGGTAAATGCCGTTTTTCCCCATTTTCAAACGGTTCCCTAGGGGCCTGTGGGAGGTACCGAAGGGGGGTTCGGCTTTTCGTAAAGTGGGGACTGTCCCCTTTCGAATGGGTGGGTTTAGAGGACCAAGCCCCTCCCCGTCCGCCCACCACCCCCAAACCGGTGGGCCTATAACTAAACATTTCCCAAATCCTAGGTTTCTATCAAATATTTATTATTACAACTTAAAAGCTTTATTGAAATTCATTTGGGGTTGGCTTCCATTACATCGGTTTTTGGGTGTTTTCACAAAACTATCACGAATTTTGTCATGAAACTTGCCGGGAATGTTAAAAACCGTATATATATATTTACATTATTTATCACGCGGCCGCTGTGGTGTAGTGGTAAGCAGTGCGCGCTTCTACTCCGCAACGCCTGGGTTCAAACCCTGGTAGCTACTGAACGGATATGGATGAGATTTTGTTTTATATATTCTGTATCGATAGAAGCATTATATTTAGTGCTTAGCATTTCTATAGGGTTGCCATCTGTCTAAAAACTTATAAGATCCTTGCGTTGAATTATAAGATCTTCACCGTTTGTTGGACTAAAAAATGGGATACCCAGTGAAAGGATATGGTCTCCGGATGTGCAAAATGCATTCATTATTTTTGAAAGGGGTTGCCACCTATTTAAAAATAACCACATTTTTATTAATTAGATACATTAGATTTTCACAGTTCACTCAATTAGAAAAAAAAACAAGTGAAAGGATATGATCTTCAGATGTGCAATGCTTTAATTTTTTTAGTAGGGTTGCCACCTATTTCAAAATTACAACTTTACATATAATACGTGAATGCATTATTAATTATTAATTACATCAGATTTGCGCAATAAGGTTTTATATTTTCGAACAGGGTTGCCACCTGTACGAAAAATTATAAGATTTGGGCTGTTCGTTGGACTAAATAGCGAGTCGTTAAAAGAGAGGACTTGGCCTCCAGGTTTGCAATAAGGTTTTATTTTTTTGAATATACATAGTTGCCGCCTGACTAAACATTTTTTAAGATCCACACCGCTCAATGCATTAAAAACATAAGGTGTCAAATGAAACGGCTTGGCCATTAGGTGTGCAATAAGGCTTTATTTTTTAATAGGGTTGCCACTTGCTGCTTACTTATGTACCCTTTCACGCATACGAGGCCAGCTAGTACTTCGATAAATAATGAAAATTAATAATAAAAATTCGCGTTATTTTATATAAATCATTTTTTTTTATAAAAATCAATACTTCGATAAATAATGAAAATTTTAATAAACCCTCGCGCGATTTTGTATCACTTTAACGCGGTTTAAAAAAAAATAACAATACTTCGATAAATAATGAAATTTTTTTATAAAAAATCGCGCGATCGGCTGCATGTGAAGAGGTGCCGAGGTTCATGTGGTGACTCTCGACATGCCGGACATTGGTTGGGCCCATCCTCATTAATTCTGCTCAGGTATGGGTTTAGCCTGCTGCAATAGCCAGAGCGAAATTGGGCTATTGTGGAGCGGGTCTCCCGACAAAGTTCTGTCCCGTCCAGGTCAGGTGGTTGTGTGGCTAGAACGGCATTCACAGGGCGGGAGTCTAAGTAATTTGAGACCGACTCCCTGTGAATGTGAATCAGGGCCTGTCGATAAGCTGACGGTTCCAGAGGTTGTTTAATGAACCTCCGACCTTCGTCCGTCAGTTCGTAGAGATGCCTCCTGACGTGCCTTGGCGAGGGCTCTTCTGCGAGCAGCTGTTTGTTTGGATGACCACGTCTGTGGCTCACCACAAGAAACTGCTTGCAGGGCATTGTATTATGTTCCTTGACTGGGAGCATCTGGGTTTCGTCGTGAAGGTGGTGTTGGGGCGACATCAGAAGGCATCCAGTCGATGTCCGAAGTGCCGTATTCTGGCAGGTCTGTAGCTTCATTCACTGCGACCTGCTAGTCCCAGGCGACCACACGGGCGCTGCATAGTTTATAATGGGCCGGCCAATTGCCTTGTATGTTGCCAACAACGTTTCTTTGTCTTTGCCCCAAGTGCTGCCGGCCAGCGACTTGAGGACATTGTTGCGGCTCTGTCTTTGTTGACAATTGAGGTTGTATGCGCCGAGAAGGAGAGCAGACTGTCGAAGATGACTCCGTCGGTATTGTTACGCCATCGACGTGATTACCCAGTTGTAGTCTGACCTCCTTCGACCAGGTGGTGAATAGAGTTGCCGAGGATTATAAATTTTCGACTGCGACGCTTTTTAAAAAAAATCAAAACTTCGATAAATAATGAAAATTTTTTATAAAACATCGCGCAATTTTTTATTGACAACATTCGCCTGCGCCGCTTTAAAAAAAAATACTTTAACAAATAATGAAAATTCTTTATGAAAAATCGCGCGATTTTTTATTACAAATTTTCGGCTGCGGCGCTTTTTAAGAAAAAAGAATGGGAAATGTTTAGTTATTGGCCCACCGTTTTTGGGGTGGGGGGCGGAGGGGGAGGGGGCGGGGCCCCCCAAACCCCCCTCATTCGAAAGGGGACAGTCGCCACTTTACGAAAAGCCCCACCCCCCCCTTGGGGACCTCCCACAGACCCCTAGGGAACCGTTTGAAAATGGGGTAAAAACGTAATTTTCCTAGGCAAACTGAGCAGTTTCAAGTGGAATATAACCCAACTAACGAAAAACGTGGGATTTTTAAATAAAAGAAATTATCCCAAGTTGGTTATCAGGCGATTTGAAAAAAAAAATGATGGGGAAAAAAATTAACTAACAATATTGTGAAATTAAGAAAAAAGCGACAGATAGAAATGTTCGGCCGCACTTAGGGATTATAACCCTCACTACGTAGAATTCTCTTCTGTGTTGCCAAAGAAAGGGGGTTGAACACCTTTTGCAGAGAACACCTTTCTGCGTAGGCGGCCTTCGGCCGCACTTAGGGATTATAACCCTCGGGCAGTAGAATTCTCCTTTCTGTGGTGCCAAAGAAAAGGGGGCGAACACCTTTTGCATAGAACACCTTTCTGCGTAGGCGGCCTTCGGCCGCACTTAGGGATTATAACCCTCAGGCAGTAGAATTCTCCTTTCTGTGGTGCCAAAGAAAAGGGGCCGAACACCTTTTGCATAGAACACCTTTCTGCGTAGGCGGCCTTCGGCCGCACTTAGGGATTATAACCCTCAGGCAGTAGAATTCTCCTTTCTGTGGTGCCAAAGAAAGGGGGCCGAACACCTTTTGCATAGAACACCTTTCTGCGTAGGCGGCCTTCGGCCGCACTTAGGGATTATAACCCTCAGCGAAAGGAGCCACAGGGACAGTAAATACATATTTTCCATGGAAAGGTTTATATTTTTAATGCTGACTGGGTTATATCATATTTTCTTTTGTCTCTCATCCTTCTTGTATATTTAGCAGTTTGACAGCTAAGCGCCACCATTTAATGTGCATATGCAACCAAAGGCAAACGCGTGGTTTTGAAGATGTTTTTATTTAATAAATTGTGATTGATAGATTAAAATTAAAGTAATAAAGAAAGTTGTAACAAGTCGAATAAAGTTTAAAGTGAAGGGGAATATAAAAATGCATTAGTGAAGTGGCTGCTTTAAGGAAAATAGGAGTGATAAATGTGAGCTATTTTCCGAATTTTACAAAAAAGGGCATATTTCAAACCCAATTTGTAAATAAATTAGTGACCAAAAATTACAATAGTGGATGTTAAAGTAATGGGTAGACCCTTGGCTACAAGTGTGTGCAATTTTTTTTTGGATCGGGTCACCCCTTTGGACGCAATACCCCGAAATAGGTGGGCCACTTACTAAACCGTACCCAAAAGAATACTTCTATAAGTAATGAAAATTTTTTTAAAAAATCGCGCGATTTTTTATTAACAATTTTTGCCTGCGGCGCTTTTTTATACAAAGAGATAATTCCATAAATTATGTACATTTTTATTAAAATCAATACTTCGCCTACGGCTGTTTTTTATGTAAAACAGTGTTTCAATATAAAATGAAAATTTTCAATAAAAAAAACCCGCGATTTTTTTTTTTCTCATCATCTGGTAGCACCAACATCTGCGTTCATTTCCAACACTTCCATGTAATCAATGAAATTTATATGGCGAATAGTGCAACTTTAAAAATTAACAACTTTTTAAATAGAAGCCTCCGCGCTCAGGGGTTTTCGTTTTTAGAATCGGAAAAAGCTCCTCTACACGCTCTAATTTTTATTTTTTTTTTTAATTTGGACCGAATTTTTGGAAAATTTTCCCAATTATCTTCTGGGACAGTATCAAAAATGATAATATAGGGAATTAGGGTTACTTACCTTTATTGTAGCCTTGCTGAGGCTGATAGCTCCTCTGCATCCGAAATCCGATTCTGATTCTGATTTATAATAAGAAAGTGTGCCGTTTTTTAATACAATATAGCGCGGTTGCCACCCATATATATAATTCGTCCACTTGCTAAGATAACCACGGAGCTCAATACTATTATCGAAGTATTCATTTTCTGAATCACCACTTTGCGAGCTGGTATCGAGGGGAAATGGCCCCATGCTCCGTACGGTTTGGGACTCCATGGATATTGAAGGTGTCCAAGAAAACGAATTATTTAGGTTAACATTCGCATTTACATATATGCAACTTTATAGTTACTTCAGACACATTGTGCTTTACTTAAACATTCTGTTTAAACTTCAAGGTTAAAGATTTCAGTTTTCCATAGCTCACTTTCGACAACAGTTTGTTAAAATTTTATTTTATAGAAAAGTTGTTCTATCATTGTTCTAAGGAATTATGATGGGAAGCAGAACCAAACCAATTGTATTGTATTGACCGTTCTTCGCAATGAAATCATTTTGAACAAATGCAAACACGCAAGTGTTAAACATACATGATAATATCTTCTTTTTTTCTTAATTTGTCGCCAGTTCCACAGACTTCCACAAACATAATTCAATTTGAAAACACATTCACAAATAATTCATTTTTATAAGAATCCCTGATAATAACGTTATATATAAAATTCTATTTCAAAACTGGAATAAGTGAAATGAACCACAGGGTGCCGGTTCCTACACCGCGATTCTCAAAATATATCGAAACAGGGTTTGAACTCCTGAACCAAAAATACAAGATCACGTAAGAACGCGACGTTGTATTTGTAACTGGTTTTGAGAAAAAAGTTTGCGAAAGCGGGTTTGTCAGCTGAGCGTTTGTTTACATCACAAGGACCACTATTTTACACTTTTATTTAAGTAAAGAAGAGTTAATTCAACATGACAACACATTTCCAAGCATTTTATTGCATCATTTTACCTAAATTGTGCGCTTAAAGTGGCTGACAATAATTTTGGCTAATTTTGGTTTTCGTTGTTTTCTTTGCTTTGTTTACTTTTCGCTCGTTTTCCAGTGAAACAAGATGGGGCATAAATGCACAATACTACCAAATCTCGAATTAAAAAAATTCATAGGGGATCGATAGAGATCATTGAGGTGAGTGTAACGATGTAATTTTTTTTTTTTGGGAAACAACAACTACAACAATTATTAAAGGTCAAAGTTCAAATTAAGCATTTTCTCAAATTAATATTTCTCGAAAACCTCTTCAAGGAATTGGACAATTTTGATATCATTTGATAGAGAATTTAATTCTCTTTAATTTGTATACATATTTATTTAGCGCTTACGCAGAAAGGTGTTCTTTGCAAAAGGTGTTCAGCGCCTTTTCTTCACAACACAGAAAGAGAATTCTACTTTGTGAGGGTTATAATCCATAAGTGCGGCC